AAGGTCAAATAACTGATAGGGGACCCACTTGGGCATCAGAACCTGTCTGCCTGGCTGCAGTGTGCTCTTTCCATGAAGCCGCCTTACTGTCCTGTGCCATGTGGAATAGCTCATGAATTGATGGCGTTGTTCTCAACCAGTGATAAAAAGCTTCTCTCTAGCACTGGGAACCTTTTTATTTTCTTCCCCTGATTCTTTTTCTACCACAGCGTAGCCAGCGGCTGCCCAAAGAAAACACGGTGGCTTGGAAACCATTTTTTACTCCATGGGTCTTCCCCTGGGCTGGTCATTTGTGGTGGCATTTACACTTACCAACAAGTGTCTCTGCATTAGAGCATTTCTGTTCACCGAGTTGTACACATGTCGAAATTAGTAAAATGCAAAGAGGCTCAACTGTCCAGATTTAAGCCTGACTTTTGTTGCAAAATGAGTCCAGTTTGGTCAACGTTTCAGCCCTTCACTTACCTTTCCCCCTTCTAGGTGGCTTCCCACAGCTCTGACTCCAGCGTTCCCAATGGCTTCACGAAGGTGGTTCTGAAGCTCTTTGATTCTGACCCTATCACTGTGACGGTCCCAGCAGACGTCTCCAGGAACAACCCTAAATTTATGGAGACGGTGGCAGAGAAAGCTCTGCAGGAATACCGCCAACACCTCCGGTGAGTATGCAGGCCTTAGCTGCGGTTCTTCAGGGCCCAACAGTCTCTGGGAGTTGAAACAAAAGGCTGAGTACCCAGCCTGGGAATGAGTGTGCCTGCAGCCAGAGCCCAGATACGAAGGCAGGAAACCACTGGGACTTTTAATATTCCTTTGGAGGATGTTCTTTCTTGGTGGATAAGAATTTGAGTGTTGGTTGCTGCCTCTCAGTGAACATGGAGCCTTTACCTTCTCCTCCCCGGCTTTTTTTCAGGGAGGAGTGAGATGTGAATGTTGCTTTTCCAAGTATGAGGGCATCTGAGTCCAGTTGCCCCTGAGATGAGCCACAGACCCCCTAGAGAGAGCTCTGCATGTCACCAGGTGACCAGGCCCTGGCCT